TATTTTTTTTTTTAGTTGACAGATGAGTTAGACAGTGAGAGAGAGAGAGACAGAGAGAAAGGTCTTCCTTCCATTGGTTCACCTTCCAAATGGCTACCACGGCCGGTGCTGCGCAGAACTGAAGCCAGGAGCCAGGTGCTTCCTCCTGGTCTCCCATGCGGGTGCAGGGCCCACGGACTTGGGCCATCATCCACTGCCTTCCTGGGCCACAGCAGAGAGCTGGACTGGAAGAGGAGCAGCCGGGACTAGAACCTGCACCCATATGGGATGCTGGCACCTCAGGCGGAGGATTATCCAAGTGAGCCACGGCACTGGCCCCTAATGTACTATTGCGTGAGTTTGAATCTAAAACCACTAAATAGATTCAGTCCAATAGCAAAGTCACTCCCCTCACTGAAACCCTCTAGGTGGGCTCTATCCTTCTCTATAAATATGCATAGTGTGCAGAATTATTTCCTTTACAGAAGAAATGACAACTTAAGATTTGATTTAATAATAAATCAATGATATACTTCGTGGATGATTTCAGAACTTTTGCATCCTTGTCTTTAACTTTGATTTCAAGAGCCCAAACAAATGTCAGAGGCAACATAAGCTTCCGTAACTATAATTCAACCAGCCTGTGACAACAAAGGCAGATGGGAGTCGTTCAAACTCTTAGAAGTGAGCTGGTACATTTGGCACACTCTTACTACTCTTATATCCCATGGCTATTAGGCATGGAAACTTTCTATGGAATATCCATTACTCATTCCCTCTGCTCTCAACACACAGCTTGTCAGAAAAAATGGGGTTAGGAGGTGGGAAGAACAGGGAAGCCAAGCCTAAAATGCAGGAAAAGGCAGAGACAAGTAAATTCACTTCAGATTTGCACCTTGCTTTCAATAGCTTCTTTTAGTTAATATTCCCTGACTTTTTAAATTAGCAAATACACCGGACCCAGGAGGAAAACACGAGGGGAGATACAAAATAAATAAATAAACAAAGCAGTACAAACCTCCGTGACTTGTACAATTTACTATTTAATCCTTGTGCTTGAACACGGGAATGAACTGTGGTCTGTTTTTCATTACTCCCCATCTGGAGCTATTGCCCACTTTGTTCAGCAATTTCTGGTCATTTTTGGCCTGATGGTGACTGTTTTGTTTTATGCTGCCATATTATACAGAGTGAAAGCTGCTGCAGCCACCACCCAAGAGAGAATAATCTTGAAAATCAGAGGTGATGTTGAAAGAGTTCGCCATGACGGCTTCCGGCACAGAGAAGTGAGGGTGTTTATCTCGGCCTGACTACTGCCAATAACTTACAAGGTATCTATGGGATGCAGGAGGAACAAAAGTCTTTCTTTCAGTTTCGAGAAAAGAATTAGAGTCTGTTGGTTAATACATCAAGGTTAATTTTGATTCTTTTTCTCTTTACTAGTATATGTGCTTTCTCATATCTTGTATATACTGCCATGCATCTAACATGCTACATGTTCTACAGCTCATGAAAAACTGAATTTATATTGCATTTAAAGACAAACATGAATACATCCTTTTCTTCATAACAGTTCGTTTTAACTGCATAGCCTTGATGTAGAGGCAAAGTTGCAAATGACTGGAAATGCAAGTGTCTCCAAAAAGACCAAATTCAATTTGTGTTCCCTAAGGACAGGCTTGCTGCTGTTACAGATTGTGTTTAACAAAGCCACCTCACACACCCTTTAATTCCTTTCCTTAAGAGAGCAACAGTCAGGGTCCTGCACTGTGACACAGAGTGTGAAACCACCACCTGCAATGCTAGCATCCATGAGAGAGCCCATTCAAGTCCAAGCTGATCTGCTTCTGATCCACCTCCCTGCTGATACACCTGGAAAACCAGTAGAATATGGTCCATGTGCTTTGGTCCCTGCCACACACGTGGGTGACCCAGATGGAGTTCCAGGCTCCTGGTAGCCACTGAAGCCATTGGGAGAGTGAACCAGTGAGTGGAAGATTCTCTCTCTCTCTCTGTCTCTCTCTCTCTTCCTGTGTAATTCTCTGCCTTTTTTTTTTACACAGCTTAAAAAAAAAAAAAGAAAGCATGAGTCAGGAGGAACTCAACTTCTGCCCAATATTTAAAGAAAAAAGAATAGTATTCTCTTTTAATTCTTTCCTATTTTCATTGGTAATATTTTTCATGAATAAATACCTACTTATTAGTTACTCAGGTTTTATAGAATGAGAAACCAAAATATAAACATAATTATAAGAGACTCAAATTTTCCAAGAGTTGTATTTCTTTCCGTCTAGAAAGACAACAAAACAGATCTGCAGTTGTGTTAAGATAAGAATAATATGTCACTCATAACCTACATTAACATAAACATTTCTGCCTTGATTAATATTGCCAGTACATTATAAAAAGTAATGTACGTTTTTCATGTATTAACTCATTTACTATTACAACACTCTTTAAGTGAGGCCCTATTATTATTACCATTTTATAGATGGGAAGCTGAGGCCCAGTAAGGTTGAGTAATTGACTATTTACACAGCTATTAGGTGGTGAGGCCATCTTCAAACCAGGCAGGCTGGCTCTTCCACAGTCTTAAGCAAAACAATACTGACTCTCAAATATTTACATAATTCCATAATTTACTGCACACAATATTTTGCATTCTCCTATATTGATTTAACTTCATATAATGAATATTTTCTAGCAGTTGACAAAGTCTAGTTCTTATGGTTACCTTTCAATAACTATACAACAGTTGTGTACATGCCATAGGCTAGAATTTGTACCTTTTCTACATTTTTTCCCAGTATACAGAATGAAAGAAACCTCAAAGTTGTGTACTTCTATGTATTTCTTACAAATGTATTCGAATAAAATATTTGCAACACTATTCTCAGTGGAATAACTAGTACCAAGAGTGAGTCATTTATTGCCTTTTCCACACTGATGTTTTTGGGGGTGCTTCCAATTTAGCATGGTATTAATGAGGAATGGATGAACCAGTTTCATAGCAACTAGCATTAGAGGGCCTACATGATCTAATGTTTGCTATTCGAGTAAATATAAACCATCACTGCAAACTGTTTTAATTTTCATGTTTCTAATAATTACCCAGTTTGCCCTAAGGGCAATATTTATCTTGTAGCCCTCTCAAGTTTTGTCTTTCTTCCAGTGGACTTTCTTTGTTTCTTCCTTGGTATTGCTTCCCTGCTACCTAAAATCTCCAAGTGAGAATTCACACTCCCCAATTGTGTAGCCAACCAACCTTCATTTCCCCCGTGTTGTGCAGACCCCGGGTATCACTCTCCATTATTTCTCCATTCCTGTCATCCCAGTAGCAGTGAGATTGCTTGCAGATTCATCTTTGACAGCTCCCACATGGAGGCTACTTCAGGGCCCCTACCTGATTATGTGCAATACTCAATTTATCACCCCCCTCCAAACCTACTGCTACTCGTCTGGACTTCTTCCCTCAGTAAATGGCAAAGCCATCTTCCCTGCTCAGCAAAGTTCAAGATGAAGACCTTCATTTCATTCATCCTTCTCTTCCGCCTTTATAGAGAAAAACCATTTCTGCCTTGAAAACTCTCACGGTCACCACTTTTCCACTATGCCAGAGGTGCCAGGGAGACTCTCTCCTTATATTCCTCTTGAACTTTAACCTTAAAACCCAAATTTCTTTAGTCTCCATTTTTTTCTCCTTGTAATTCAATTTCACTCACTTTTGCTGAAATAACTTTTCTAAAACACATATAGAATCACATTTTGAATGCTCAAAAAAGGGTCTATATTACATACAGAATTAAGTTCAAACTGACAACATTTTTAAAGCTTCTAAAATCCTGATCTCTTCCTCCTTCCCACAGATGTGATCACTGTCTACTCAATTACCTTCTGAAACCCCTTCTCCTCAGTATCAGTCTTTCCCAAACCCATTTATTCCGCCTTTCCTTTCTAAATTTCATTCCCCAAAAAGGGATCTCTATGCTACACTCCAACAGTAATTGATATAAGTAATAGGAGTATTATAATTCATGTTTTGGTTTCTTTTCAAATAGAAGTGAAACTCTTATATGGTCAGAACTACATCATATTATTCTTTGTCTTGGAGTGTCTAGTACATTTCTAAATTTACAGGAGACACGAGAGGATTTCTATTTCAACTGCTGAATTCAATTTGACTACCATTACTCAGGGAGTTTAAGATATATAGAGAAATGGATGTGTGCTAGTTCCTAATACTTGTGCACATTGTATTAGCACATGAAATTGTGACAGTATTTAGGCTACCGCACTTCTTGATTTCAGTATTACAGTAATGACTGGATTAAGAATAACAGCTAACACATGTTACAAAAACATTGCAATTTCCCAGGAAGAACTGAGTCATGCAAGAGAGACCATATATATTTCACAAATAAGTTAATGCAATTTTTAAAAGTGGATGGGATTCTCAGACATGAAGAAACATAAGCCACAGACATGCTCAAATGACTTCAGACATATTTCCAGGGGATACAAAGCCCGACTTAATAAGATACCAACTTTGAAATCCTAGGAGATAGTTATGGCTGAAGCTTAGATACAATGGGCCCATCAGTAAACTCATTCCTAGTCAACTAATGTTGCTAAAGCTTTAAAGAACAGAGAAATTAAAACGTGCTTTGCATGGGAAAGTTTTCCCCAGAGTTTCTCTCATTGTTATATAGGAAATCAATTTGCATCACTGATGATATCATTCAAATCAGACAACCCAGAGTTGTTAGGAGGTAATTTAGTTTTATGCTGAAGCAATTTGATACTTGTTCTGATTTGTGATTTTCATTTTGTTTGTTAATGAAAAAAATTAATGAGCAATTTTACTAGAAATACAACTCATCAAAGCATCAGCATTATTAAAGAGGATTGCCGTACACTGTACATTGTGATCACTGTGCAGCTGGTGTCGGGACCTCCGTGTGCAGGAACCACCAATCGAATGACAAACACAAGAGCGCTGGTGCAGAAGCCCTTACACATACCTTTGCACTGATTGGTGTTTTTGTCAAGAATTGCCTTTGTGGATACGATTTTTCCATACCTGAAAGAGAGAGAGAAAAAAACCATATTATTATTATAACCCAATGAAGATGTTTAAAACACCTTAATGAACATCGGGGCACACACAGTTGAGCTTGAATAAACCAAGCAAACAAGGTCTGTTCCCGTGTCCCACCTGGCTGATCTCCCTCATCGGTTCTTCATTATACCTTAGGAATATGCTTCCCCACAGAAACACATAAGCTGCGGTGCTGTCACAGGCGGCCAGAAAGGAGGTTGGATGCGCGTGTGATCAGAGCAAAGGGCAAGCTGTGGGTTCCTGGAGGAGAGCACGGGCTGACCAGGGCTTGTTCCTGTGCGGACTCTTACTAGGCAGAGTGACCCTGAGCCGTGTAACACAACTGCTCCAGGCCACAGTTTTTCCATCTAAAGAAACAAGAAGCTGCGTAAATCACATCTCCTGCTTCCATCAGATGTCATAAACTTGGGAATTCATATATTGAACTTCAGATAAAAATGCAGTTAATGGGATATGCTGTGGCACCAAAATGCCATGGCTCAAACTGCAATCGGCCGAGATACAGGTATTTGGACAAGTCACATGGGCTTTGTGCTTCACGTCTTCATCTGTATTGATTTAAATATGCTTCTTTAAATTATGTTTTAGATTATCATTTATCTACAGTGATATAAATGTATTTATAAATATGTAATAGGAAGATGATATTGTCTCACTGAAAAGGTTGCTGTGGGGGGTAAATCAGGCATGCCTAAAGTGCTAGAAGAGGGACTGTTATGGGATAGAAACTCATTAAAGGTTAGCTTGTCTTCTGGTTCCTCTCTCCCTGTTAACCGCTCTGCGCAAATGCCTCCAGTCCTTGGAAATTTTAGAGCCAGATGAGAAATCGAAGGACAACTTACAACATTATAACATATATTGTGAAAACCTTCAGCTAAAACATTTGGCAAGTGAAGTGTTTTGTGAAAAGGCAATTTACATTGACAATTTAGACTGATATTTTTAATGTTAAGAATTTCATTACATTTCACAGTACCCTTAGCACACAAACACTCACGTCGACAAAGTTTTCTTGTTGGTTTAGTATTACCAAAATTTCTATTACCTCATCCCTTTTACCATACAAACTTACTCCCTCTAAAAATCTCCAAGACTTTATCATTTCCACTTTTTAAGAAACACATTCATACCTCTCTTCCATACTTTAGATATCTTAAGAATTTCACTGTTGGGAAAATGCCCAGCAATATAAAATCATATTTGAACAATCTCTGTAATAGACAATAATTCATGATACCTACAATCCTACTTATTAATTAGCTAGAATAATTACTTACTGGGCGGCGCCGCGGCTCACTAGGCTAATCCTCCACCTGCGGCGTCAGCACCCCGGGTTCTAGTCCCGGTCAGGGCGCCAGATTCTGTCCCAGTTGCTCCTCTTCCAGTCCAGCTCTCTGCTGTGGCCTGGGAAGGCAGTGGAGGATGGCCCAAGTGCTTGGGCTCCTGTACCTGCGTGGGAGACCAGGAGGAAGCACCTGGCTCCTAGCTTTGGAATGGCGCAGCGAGCGTGCCGGCCACAAAGCTCAGGTCGTAGCGGCCACTTGGGGGGTGAACCAATGGAAGGAAGACCTTTCTCTCTGTTTCTCTCTCTCTCTCACTGCCTAACTCTGCTTGTCAAAAAATAAATAAATAAATAAAAATAATTACTTACTTTGGCCTATTCAGGCAAATAAACATTTGCAACATTGTATATGGGTTCTTCAAATGGTTCATAAAATTTTCATTGAAAATGTGTTTACTTTGGTGCAAGAAAATTTTGAAATGTGTACACAGTTTTTTTTATAACATGCATTTCTATGAACTTTTTGAAGACACGTCTAATTTGTCTGGATTTTAGGTATTTTGGCAACAAAATAAATATACCTGTTATTTTCATTTTTCATGAACATATTGATGTGGTCTCGTATCATTTTACACTATTACCAGAGAGAGAAAAGAAAGAGAAATTGGCTCAAACTTCTTTTTCCACAAAAAGCACTGCGAATGTAAAAGGCAAAAAGCAGAAAAATAAAAGGAATTGAAAACATTTGTTACAATTTCATATCAGGAATACAAACTCTTAAGACAGAAATCCTTCTTAATTATTTGTAAATCTACTCCTAAAGTTTTAATGTAAGTATTTTCTAAACCAAAATTGAGTTGTCTTGAAAAGTTGAAATGAAAAATTACAGTATGGCAGAGTGAATTACATTTCACAACTAGATTGCTGACCGAGAGTGTGCAAACTGTCCTTTTATGTCAACAGTACAAGGAAATCCTCGACTTTATTTAATGTAGCATATGCAAAAAATGGCTATCAGTTTTGAAAAAAAAAAAAAACCAGGGAAATGAATTCTTGTGGAATGCAATTTTATAAAACAAAACTTTCATAAAATCAAAAGAACTGTAAAACTTTTTGAGAAATAAAGTTCCCCTTTAAAAGTCACCAAGAAACAATTGCATTCCACAAGAACACACATGCTTTTGCGAGCGCTAGCACCACACACACACACACACACACACAGAGCAGGTAATGGTCACGTACCTGAGTCCCTGCCATCCACATGGTAGACCAGGCCCCTGGCCTCAGTCTGGCCCAACATGGCAGTTGCAGCCATTTGGGGAGTGAAACAGTTGATGGAAGATCTCTCTCCCTCTCTCTCTCATTCTTTATTTCGAATAAATAAAATAAATAAGAATTTTAAGAAACCAAACTCTGCAATTTTTATATATTTATTTAAAAGTCAAAGTTACAGAGAGAGAGGGAGAGACAGAGAGACTCTTCCATATGCAGGTTCACTCCCCAAATGACTGCAGCAGCCAGGGATTGGCCAGTCCAAAGCCAGGAGCCAGGGGCTTCATCCGAGTCTCCCATGTGGCTGCAGGTGCCTGATACTTGGACCATATTCTGTGGTTTCCCAGGTGCATTAGCAGGGAGCTGGATTGGAAGTGGAACACTTAGGACATGAACCACCACCCATATGGGATGCTGGCACCGCAGATGGCAGCTTAACCTACTAAGCCAGAGCGTTAGCTCCAGGTGAAATTTTTTGATTTCCCTATTCCTAGGTATACAGCAGGTCTTACATTCTAATAGCACTATGTCACGAAACAACCCCGCAACACAGCACGCTTGACAGTTTCTCCTCTGTTTAGAGTTACAGGAATTCCCCTCCTTGGCTGAGTTACAACAACATTCTATTAACACTTATTTTGCAAAGCTATAAAATGCTTTGAACAAGAGAAGGTACTTAATGGGCCACTGGTTACAGTCATGTCTGAACTCTCACAATGACAAAGAGGACTTTCTGCATGACTGTGCTTTATTCTTCATGATCCGCAAAGTCAACACCGGACAAAGGTAAATAAAGTTCAGACAATTTGTAGACTTGGACCAACATGAACACACACAAAAAACCAATATAATAGGCCTTGAAGACTTATATTAACTCTGTTACTGAAGCTTTCGTCAAAGTAAACTAATACAGTAGAAGAAACCACGAGGCAGATTAAAACTACATATTTTGCTTATGCCGAAGAAAAACAAAACAAAAACCCTGAGATCAAAGGTATTCCTAAATTTATATACTCTCATTTACTCTTCCCCTTTTAGAGTTCAGCTCAAGAACCCGCATAAAGTTTTCCTTCAACTATGCCACCCACGGGTGGAAAGCAAAATCTGATATAAGAGAAAATCTGAGACCAAATTACACAGAGAGGCCTGGAAGTAGACACCTGAGCACTGGTCCCATGTGCCTCCCGGCCCCAGAAGCAGTCAGACAAATCCAATTCACTTCTCTATCCTTTCATTTCCTACAGCGAGAACAGATCAAATGCTATCCACTGCCAACTTCCTTGGGGGTTTGAACTTGGGGGAGAGGGGAAAACAAATAAATGAAGTGAACATATTCAAACCATAATTCTTTCCATGTGAGCCTTCTCTAGTCAATATGGCCAGGCCCTAATACCACATTACAAGGATATTTTTAACATACAAGTAGACAATTCTGTATCACGTCTACCTATTCACCAACTATTTTATGTGCTCATACATTCCTCAAATGATTTTATTTATTTATTTATTTGACAGGTAGAGTTATAGACACTGGGAGGGAGAGACAGAGAGAAAAGTCCTCCCTCCCCTGGTTCACTCCCCAAATGGCCGCAATGGCTGGAGCTGAGCTGATCCAAAATCAGGAGCCAGGTGCTTCTCCATGGTCTCTCATGTGGGTGCAGGTGGAGGATTAACCTAGTGGCCATGGCGCCGGCCCCCAAATACAACCACTTTTTAAGAGTACTATTTTTTTATTTTTTAATTTATTTTTGACAGGCAGAGAGAGACAGAGAGAAAGATCTTCCTTCCATTGGTTCACCCCCTAAATGGCAGCTGTGCCGGTCCAAAGCCAGGAGCCAGGTGCTTCCTCCTGGTCTCCCATGAGGGTGCAGGGCCCAAGCACTTGGGCCATCCTCCACTGCCTTCCCGGGCCACAGCAGAGAGCTGGACTGGAAGAGGAGCAACTGGGACAGAATCCAGTGCCCCGACCGGGACTAGAACCCGGGGTGCCGGTGCTACAGGCAGAGGATTAGCATAGTGAGCCATGGCGCTGGCCAAGAGTACTATTTAAAAGATTAGCTATTTTGGGGGCCGGCACTATGATGCGGCAGGAGAAGCCTCCATGTAGGACACCAGCATCTCATATAAGAGCGTTGGTCCGAATCCTGACTGCTCTACTTCTTCTTCTTTTTTTTTTTTTTTTTTTTTTTTTTTTTTTTTTTTTTTTTTTTTTTTTTTTTTGACAGGCAGAGTTAGACAGTAAGAGAGAGAGAGACAAAGAGAAAGGTCTTCCTTCCGTTAGTTCACCCCCCAAGTGGCTGCTATGGCCGGCGTACTGCGCCGATCCGAAGCCAGGAGCCAAGTGCCTCCTCCTGGTCTCCCATGCAGGTGCAGGGCCCAAGCACTTGGGCCATCCTCCACTGCACTC